CTGGTTTGGGCTAGGCCCCTTAGTTCCAGTGAATGGAAATCTTAACGCTACAGCATACAATGACTTTCTAGACTATTCTGTGCTTCCAACTTTGTGGCAACAGTTTGGGGAAGGCCCTTTCCTGTTTCAGCATGACAATGCCCCTGTGGAGAAAGCGAGGTCCATACAGAAATAGTTTGTCGAGATCGGTGTGGAAGAACTTGACTGGCCTGCACAGAACCCTAACCTCAACCCCATCGAACGCATTTGGGATGAATTGGAACGCCGACTGCAAGACAGGCCTAATCACCCAACACCAGTGCCCGACCTCACTAATGCTCTTGTGGCTGAATGGAAGCAAGACCCCGCAGCAATGTTCCAACATCTAGTGGAAAGCCTTCCCAGAAGAGCGGAGGCTGTTATAGCAGCAAAAGGGGGACCAACTCCATATTAATGCCCATGATATTGGAATGAGATGTTCAATGAGCAGGTGTCCACATACTTTTGGTCATGTAGTGTATGTTGTTCTACAGGGTGGCAGATAGCCTAGTTGTTAAGACCATTGGGCAAGTAACCGAAAGGTTGCTGGTTCGAATGCCCGAGCCGACTAGGTGAAAAATCTTTCAATGTGCCCATGAGCAAGGCACTTAACCCTAATTGCTCCTGTAAGTCGCTCTAGATAAGAGCGTCTGCTAAATTACCAAAATGTACAAATTATATTTTGTCACTAGATGGCAATATATTATATATTTCTATATTGTTGGCCACTAGGGATATTAACATATTTCTGATAGCTGTATTACAGTGGGGGAAAAAAGTATTTAGTCAGCCACCAATTGTGCAAGTTCTCCCACTTAAAAAGATGAGAGAGGCCTGTAATTTTCATCATAGGTACACGTCAACTATGACAGACAAATTGAGAAAAAAAAATCCAGAAAATCACATTGTAGGATTTTTAATGAATTTATTTGCAAATTATGGTGGAAAATAAGTATTTGGTCACCTACAAACAAGCAAGATTTCTGGCTCTCACAGACCTGTAACTTCTTCTTTAAGAGGCTCCTCTGTCCTCCACTCGTTACCTGTATTAATGGCACCTGTTTGAACTTGTTATCAGTATAAAAGACACCTGTCCACAACCTCAAACAGTCACACTCCAAACTCCACTATGGCCAAGACCAAAGAGCTGTCAAAGGACACCAGAAACAAAATTGTAGACCTGCACCAGGCTGGGAAGACTGAATCTGCAATAGGTAAGCAGCTTGGTTTGAAGAAATCAACTGTGGGAGCAATTATTAGGAAATGGAAGACATACAAGACCACTGATAATCTCCCTCGATCTGGGGCTCCACGCAAGATCTCACCCCGTGGGGTCAAAATGATCACAAGAACGGTGAGCAAAAATCCCAGAACCACACGGGGGGACCTAGTGAATGACCTGCAGAGAGCTGGGACCAAAGTAACAAAGCCTACCATCAGTAACACACTACGCCGCCAGGGACTCAAATCCTGCAGTGCCAGACGTGTCCCCCTGCTTAAGCCAGTACATGTCCAGGCCCGTCTGAAGTTTGCTAGAGTGCATTTGGATGATCCAGAAGAGGATTGGGAGAATGTCATATGGTCAGATGAAACCAAAATAGAACTTTTTGGTAAAAACTCAACTCGTCGTGTTTGGAGGACAAAGAATGCTGAGTTGCATCCAAAGAACACCATACCTACTGTGAAGCATGGGGGTGGAAACATCATGCTTTGGGGATGTTTTTCTGCAAAGGGACCAGGACGACTGATCCGTGTAAAGGAAAGAATGAATGGGGCCATGTATCGTGAGATTTTGAGTGAAAACCTCCTTCCATCAGCAAGGGCATTGAAGATGAAACGTGGCTGGGTCTTTCAGCATGACAATGATCCCAAACACACCGCCCGGGCAACGAAGGAGTGGCTTCGTAAGAAGCATTTCAAGGTCCTGGAGTGGCCTAGCCAGTCTCCAGATCTCAACCCCATAGAAAATCTTTGGAGGGAGTTGAAAGTCCGTGTTGCCCAGCGACAGCCCCAAAACATCACTGCTCTAGAGGAGATCTGCATGGAGGAATGGGCCAAAATACCAGCAACAGTGTGTGAAAACCTTGTGAAGACTTACAGAAAACGTTTGACCTGTGTCATTGCCAACAAAGGGTATATAACAAAGTATTGAGAAACTTTTGTTATTGACCAAATACTTATTTTCCACCATAATTTGCAAATAAATTCATTAAAAATCCTACAATGTGATTTTCTGGATTTTTTTTTCTCATTTTGTCTGTCATAGTTGACGTGTACCTATGATGAAAATTACAGGCCTCTCTCATCTTTTTAAGTGGGAGAACTTGCACAATTGGTGGCTGACTAAATACTTTTTTTCCCCACTGTACATTGCTTTCCAAACCTACTTTAGTATTGTTGGTTGATATTAGTGAACTTCCTCTAAAATACTGTTACTCCGAGCTCATTCATGTCTAAGCAACTTTGAAGACTGGTAGCAAGACTGTAAAGCTTTAAAACAATACTACAGGGAATGACCCTACATTATATTATACAGTGGGGTCCCAAATTATTTAACCCTTGATAAAGATGAGCAGAAATGACTATAAATAAAATACTGAGCTATATTGTATGCTATCGAGGGGGTAATATCTGGCGTCTCGTGGGAAGTCGATGTTAAAGAGATGAAAAATATTCCTGGAGTGATTGATGCATGTCGGATGACTCGAGTGGTGAAAGATGAAAAAGTGAAGAGTTGATCTGTTCTTTTGTTTTTTGATATTAAGTCCCTCCCTAATCAAGTGCAGTTGGGGTATATAAAACTACAAAGTCAGAGCATTTATCCCAAGACAAATGCAGTGTGATCACTGTAAAGCTTTAGGTCATGTGTCAAGGGTTTGCAGAAGGGAGAAACCGAGATGTCCAAGTTGTGGAAAATATAATTGAATGTGTTATAAAAGTGATGAAAAAGTGAAATGTTGCAATTGTGGTGGGAACCATGAAGCCACGTCTTTTGAATGCCCGACAAGGGTGAAAGAAAATGAGGTGGCCAAAGTTAGGGTTGTACAGAGCATTTCCTATGCAGCAGCGTTTAAAAGGGTTGAGGGTTTGAATGGTGCTCCTGAAGAGTCCATGGTGGTGGATAGGCCTTCAATGCAAGCTGCAGGGGTTGCCTTTCACCAAGATGATCCTGACAAGGTTAAAAAGGTGGACTTTGTGGCCTTTATCGCAATGGTGATTAATGGCACTGCCAAGGTGGAGAAAAGATCTAGGAAGATAGAAATCATTGTGGTTGCAGCGGAACGGTTCCTGGGGCTGAAAGATTTCTCGGCAAAAGAGTTACATGGAATATTGTCAAAAGCCGTACCACCATCTCAGGCCCTAGAGACTGAGAAGGGAGATATGGAGATTTAAAAGAAGGAAGAAATGGGAGTTTTGTTTTGTCAATGTACTATTTTATTTGGGTGGATTTAGTTAGTTTCCCTATTATGTATGGATTTTCTTTTGTTACATGGAATATTGGCAAAAGCTGTATCACTCTCTCAGGTCCTAGAGCCTGAGAAGGGAGCTATGGAGAACTAAAAGAAGGAAGAAGAAATGGGAGTTTTGTTTGTTTTGGCAATGTACTATTTTTATTAGGGTGGAGTAAGTTAGTATCACTAAGTATGGATTTATTATTTATTTTATATATTTTGTGGTTTCAAACTGTCCAGTTGGAGGCGGCAATACAACTTTTGGATGTAGTCTGCCATAAAACCCACAGAAGAGGAAGAATGTTTGATGGCCTTTGACAACGTTACTTTGTTCTCATGTACCTCATCTCCCTGCCCGTTTGCTCTTCTAGATTCCCCCTTCCATCTATGTCCCCATCTGTGGTAAATCCACCCTCATCCCCTTTTCTGAACATTTCCAACTTTCTTTCCGTACAGTTGTGTAGGTAGTCACATCACTAATCCTACTACCTTCATCCAGCTCAGATTTACTCCCATCTGAGCTACCTGCCATGCCTACTACCTGTCTCAGTACAGCCACAGATAGAACAATGAGATAGATATTTCACCAGATGTATAAATATCAAGCATCCACTTGGCGTTTCCACTCACTACCAAATATGAGTGGTAGTGAGAGGAAGCCCACTGGCCGGCAGTGGGAGAAGATGTAACGAGATGGATTCTGCAAATGTTCTCATCTATGAATCATTTGATCTCAATACCGTTTTCTGTTCCCAAAACTAGATTATGTTAGGAACAGAGTGGACTAAGTTTAATAGACTTTACCCTTTGAAAAAGTTTTTTAAAAATCGCGTTGTTTAGGAGCGCAAAGGCGAATTGAGTTATTGCACAAGCGCACTTCACAGAGTAAGCGTTCCCTAACGGAAATATGCAGATACCTGGTATAACGCGCCAATAGGATCTCGCTAGCTCATGCTTGGCTCTGCCCACCTTCTTCCTTTATATGCCCACTATGACTCATTTGTTCCCATTGGAAACGAAAGACTGTGGTCTATCTTGGTTTAGTTATTCAAATCTTTGGTATAGCTGTGCAGATCCGCCAACCAAGCGCAACACTGCGTTCACTTTCGAAACCAAACATTATGATAAAAAAACATGTATATAAAACAGCCTTTTGTCACTGTTCCCTAGCAATCATGTGTTTCCATCAAATAGACTTGTTGCGGATCCCCGCTTCTCCTTCCCAACTACGGGCATTTGCCTGAAACAACCAAAAGGATGGACAACGTTAATTGGCAGGTGGAATTACGTCCAATGAGGTTGCAAGTTTAAAGAGGGAGGCGGGATCGGGTCACAACCAAACATCAAATACATTTCATATTTCAATACCATTTTACAATCAAAATTTTTTTTTTAAACAATCTAAATTGCAAAAAATAAACACTTTAAATTCTATTGATTCTGCAGGTGAAAAATAATAATTAAAAACAGGTCTCAGTCACTTTACTTTGCTATTACACAAATGTAAGACTAATTGTAGTGCCAGTCTATTTATGCTATCATGCCAACTCCTTTTCACTCATTGTCATGCCATGTTTGGCTTGACAATGGGCAATGGTGTTGGCATGACAGCACAAACAGACTGGCACTGAATGAAGTCTTGAATTTGACAGATGCGTGCATTATCTGTCAAACAGCAAAACACAATAACATACTGAATATTGAACCACTTCTTGATCAAATATCCCTCTCCTACGATTAACATATTAACTGGCCATGTTACATTAATCAAACTTTTTTTTTTTAACTACTGTAAAAGTAGATACATTAACAAGTTTTATTGCCCAGTTGAAGTGCAGGACAAAGGCCAAATAATCTTAGCTGCCTGTGCTGGTGTTCAAACAGTTCTGTATCTACATGGACACAACAAGGGGAATCTTGGGTGATCATCCTCTGTGCGTACATCAACACGCCAACGCCTCCCAGAATAGCCAAGGTCTGGAGTCCGATGGGAGTCTGGAGATACTTTGGCAGGTCAGTTGGCTTTAGTGGTGGGAACGTGGCGACTTTGGCACGTCATTCAGTCTTTAGTTTATTTAGGCATTTAGCAGTGCCATTCTTCTCCATGAAGTCCCTCAACTTGGTGGGGTAGTCAGTCATGACACCTGTGGCTCCCAGGTCAAAGGCTCTCTTAAAGTCCTTCTCGTCGTTCAGCACCCACACATAAACCTGGAATTAAACAAGTATGAGCACGAGCAGAGCAAAGTGACTGTGATAAAAGCGATTGATAGCAGTTTTGTCAGAATGGCCTTACTTGTATTCCCCTTGCTGTTAGGTGATTGAACAGAGCTCTTCTCATCAGCAGGCTGCAGGAGAAACAGTCTTTAGACCCTGATTAATGAACCTCATCATTTATAATATTACATATCACCTGTTCTGGACCACAGCTACAGTCAACCACTCACCAGACGTCCAAACGTAATGCTATGCATGCTCCTTCTGAAGTGTGCAATGGAGCAGTTGTTCCAAGTGGAGGGTACAGTCATCTCAGATTATTACACTTACGTATCTGCCAGCCAGGTGATGACATGCTGACTCCTGGTCATCTTATCAGGATCCCTCATAAGATGTCTGTGGAATCACAAAAACACAACACAGGCAATACATAAGCGAAAATGAAGGAATCGAAAGTACACTTTTTTACCCAACTTTAGAATTCAGGTATTTCTACAGGTCAATCCTCTTTAAAGGGACAGTGCGAGATTCTGGCGCATAAGCCGTTTTTCTACTTACCAAGAGTCAAATGAACCATTTTTATGTCTCTGCATACAGTATGAAGGAAGTTCAAGGTAGTTTTGCGAGCCAACGCTAACTAGCTTTAGCACAACGACTGGAAGTCTACAGGTACACTAGCAGTATCCATGATTTCAACTGACTCTGAGTAAGAAGAAAAATTGACAGAATCTCACAGAATCCCTTTAAAGGGCCCCTCCGGTGAACAAAAATGAAAAAGAAACACGGCTAGCTTATAACAAACCACATAGTGGCCTCAACTCAACCTCTGTTTACGTCCAAATTCAGCTGCTTTAAATGGAAAGGCATTTATTATTCATCCCTATGATCCCTGCTGTTTGGCTTACTTCCAAATTGGAAAGCATTTACAATCCAGAGAACAAACAGGCATGTTATTTGAATCATTTAATTGTGCCCAGAGATCAACTTTCAAACGGCAACATATTATTCCAGATAAGAGAGGGTGGAGAGCCAGTGGATAGAGAGAACATGAGGGTATTGTGAGGGGAGGTAGGACTCCACTTATCTTACAATACGATACTTGACTAAATGTTACTGGGTAGAATCATTGAATACATTTATGATTATTATAAAATACTCAGCTTAATATAATAGTTTGGTTAAAATGTTTGCATGCTTTGCAAGAAGAACAATTTCCCTAATAATCCTGTTTACACAGACATCTGACAAATCAAGTTGCCTGATGGAACTTGATGGAAAAAATGCAGAAAGTCAGCAATCAAAAGAAACGTTCTTAAAACAGCGACCATATCATTTTTTGGAAAGCCTATTTGATTCCGAGTTCGGACATATAAAGTTGGTATGTGTAAACTATTTCTAAAATGCATACTTTCAGATTTTTAGAACTCACTTCACTCGAGCCAAAGAGGGAGGCCCTGCTGCTCGTGATAGCACATGTGCAGAACAAATACACCGCAGGAACTCCGATTAAGGTGTTTACATGTCCTAATAATTCGAAAGAGAGGGGGGAAAAAAACAGGTGTTTTAAATCGGTTTATGGTAGGTATGCAAATGTCTATTTTGCTGCTGACTAACCGACCCTCATTAACCGGTTAACAAATGGTTAAATTTGTTCCAAACAGTGAAATAACATGACCAACAGAAAATACTACGCATGCATACACGGAACAGAAATATTTAATTAAGAGCTTAATTGAAACATACAACAATAGCAAGCATATCGTCTCACAGCCAAAAGGCTATATTATCAAACATGCAACTCCTGTAATTAAAGCAGCCAATGTAAAACCACATTTTCAATCATTTGCCAAAATGCAATTCGTGGGGAAACATTCGAAAAAAGCGCACCTGATGCGAGCGGTTCCATATATGACAGAGATGAAAATCTGTTAGAACATTTGAAAGAGGGGGAATCTAAAGATGCAACAACTATGATGGGTTGCTAATATGACTAGGATTGTGACTTTGGCTTCTGGACAACAAATGTTGATATGAAAACCCATAGAAGAGGAGAGTAAAGCTAGTTTCAATGGCATATTTTATTAACTTTAATTTATTTAGGGGAACCCAATTGAGACCAGGGAATCCAGGTGTAATTCGTTTTGTAAGGTATTCCATAACTGTGGTGCATTAAAACTAAAGGCGGATTTATCAAACTTTGTGGAGACAAGCGGGACCTCAAGAGTTAACCAACCCTGCGAACTGGTTTTGACGTCTCATATTTTTATACACTGAACAAAAATATAAACGCAACATGTAAAGTGTTGGTCCCATGTTTCCTGAGCTGAAGGAAGTCTCGAGGTTTTGCTCGCCTGAGGTAGAGTATCTTATGATAAGCTGTAGACCACACTATTTACCAAGAGAGTTTTCATCTATATTTTTCATAGCTGTCTATTTACCACCACAAACCAATGCTGGCATTAAGATTGCACTGAATGAGTTGTACAAGGCCATAAATCAACAGGAAAACGCTCATCCAGATGCAGCGCTCCTAGTGGCCGGGGACTTTAATGCAGGGAAACTTAAATCCGTTCTACCTCATTTCTACCAGCATGTTAAATGTGCAACCAGAGGAAAAAAAACTCTAGACCACCTTTACTCCACACACAGAGACGCATACAAAGCTCTCCCTCGCCCTCCATTTGGCAAATCTGACCATAACTCTATCCTCCTGATTCCTGCTTATAAGCAAAAACTAAAGCAGGAAGCACCAGTGACTCGGTTAATAAAAAAGTGGTCAGATGACGCAGATGCTAAGCTACAGGACTGTTTTGCTAGCACAGACTGGAACATGTTCCGGGATTCTTCAGACAGCATTGATGAGTACACCACATCAGTCACTGGCTTCATCAATAAGTGCATCGATGATGTCGTCCCCACAGTGACCGTACGTACATACCCCAACCAGAAGCCATGGATTACAGGAAACATCCGCACTGAGCTAAAGGGTAGAGCTGCCGCTTTCAAGGAACGGGACTCTAACCCGGACGCTTATAAGAAATCCCACTATGACCTCAGACGAACCATCAAACAGGCAAAGAGTCAATACAGGACTAATATTGAATCGTACTACACTGGCTCTGACGCTCGTCGGATGTGGCAGGGCTTGAAAACTATTACAGACTTCAAAGGGAAGCACATCTGTGAGCTGCCCAGTGACACAAGCCTACCAGACGAGCTAAACCACTTCTATGCTCGCTTCGAGGCAAGCAACACTGAAGCATGCATGAGAGCACCAGCTGTTCCAGATGACTATGTGATCACGCTCTCCGTAGCCGATGTGAGTAAGACTTTTAAGCAGGTCAACATTCACAAGGCCGCAGGGCCAGACGGATTACCAGGACGTGTACTCCGAGCATGTGCTGACCAACTGGCAAGTGTCTTCACTGACATTTTCAACATGTCCCTGACTGAGTCTGTAATACCAACATGTTTCAAGCAGACCACCATAGTCCCCGTGTCCAAGGACTCTAAGATAACCCACCTGGACAAGAGGAACACCTACGTGAGAATGCTATTCATTGACTACATTTACATTTACATTTACGTCATTTAGCAGACGCTCTTATCCAGAGCGACTTACATAAATTTTTTAATTTTTCATACCCCGTGGGAATCGAACCCACAACCCTGCCGTTGCAAACGCCATGCTCTAACAACTGAGCTACATCCCTGCCGGCCATTCCCTTCCCTACCCTAGACGACGCTGGGCCAATTGTGCGCCGCCCCATTGGTCTCCCGGTCACGGCCGGCTACGACAGAGCCTGGATTCGAACCAGGATCTCTAGTGGCACAGCTAGCACTGCGATGCAGTGCCTTAGAACACTGCGCCACTCGGGAGACTACAGCTCAGCATTCAACACCATTGTGCCCTCTAAACTCATCACTAAGCTAAGGATCCTGGGACTAAACACCTCCCTCTGCAACTGGATCCTGGACTTCCTGACGGGCCGCCCCCAGGTGGTAAGGGTAGGTAACAACACATCTGCCACACTGATCCTCAACACGGGGGCCCCTCAGGGGTGCGTGCTCAGTCCCCTCCTGTACTCTCTGTTCACCCATGACTGCATGGCCAGGCACGACTCCAACACCATCATTAAGTTTGCCGACGACACAACAGTGGTAGGCCTGATCACCGACAACGATGAGACAGCCTATAGGGAGGAGGTCAGAGACCTGGCCGTGTGGTGCCAGGACAACAACCTCTCCCTCAACGTGACCAAGACAAAGGAGATGATTGTGGACTACAGGAAAAAAAAGAGGACTGAGCACGCCCCCATTCTCATCGACGGGGCTGTAGTGGAACAGGTTGAGAGCTTCAAGTTCCTTGGTGTCCACATCACCAATGAACTATCATGGTCCAAACACACCAAGACAGTCGTGAAGAGGGCACGACAAAGCCTATTCCCCCTCAGGAGACTGAAAAGATTTGGCATGGGTCCTCAGATCCTCAAAAAATTCTACAGCTGCACCATCGAGAGCATCCTGACTGGTTGCATCACCGCCTGGTATGGCAACTGCTTGGCCTCCGACCGCAAGGCACTACAGAGGGTAGTGCGTACGGCCCAGTACATCACTGGGGCCAAGCTTCCTGCCATCCAGGACCTCTATACCAGGCTGTGTCAGAGGAAGGCCCTCAAAATTGTCAAAGACTCCAGCCACCCTAGTCATAGACTGTTCTCTCTGCTACCGCACGGCAAGCGGTACCGGAGTGCCAAGTCTAGGTCCAAAAGACTTCTCAACAGCTTCTACCCCCAAGCCATAAGACTCCTGAACAGCTAGCTAATCATGGCTACCCGGACTATTTGCACTGCCCCCACACCCCATCCTTTTTACGCTGCTGCTACTCTGTTAATTATTTATGCATAGTCACTTTAACTCTACCCACATGTACATATTACCTCAACTAGCCGGTGCCCCCGCACATTGACTCTGCAACGGTACCCCCCTGCAACGGTATAGCCTCCCTACTGTTACTTTATTTTACTTCTGCTCTTTTTTTTCTCAACACTTTTTTTGTTGTTATTTTTACTTTTTTTGTTAAAAATAAATGCACTGTTGGTTAAGGGCTGTAAGTAAGCATTTCACTGTAATGCCTGCACCTGTTGTATTCGATTTGAAAATTTGATTTGATTTGAAACAAAAGATCCCAAATATTTTCTATATGCACAAAAGGCTTATTTCTCTCAAACTTAGTGAAAAATGTGTTTACATCCCTGTTAGTGAGCATTTCTCCTTTGACAAGATAATCCATCCACCTGACAGGTGTGGCATATCAAGAAACTGATTAAACAGCAAGATCATTACACAGGTGCACCTTGTGCTGGGGACAATAAAAGGTCACTCTAAAATGTGCAGTTTTGTCACACAACACAATGCCACAGATGTCTCAAGTTGAGGGGGAGCGTACAATTGGCATGCTGACTGCAGGAATGTCCACCAGAGCTGTTGCCAGATAATTGAATGTTCATTTCTCTACCATAAGCCGCCTCCAACATCGTTTTCGATAATTTGGCAGTATGTACAACCGCCTCACAACCGCAGACCACGTGTATGGTGTTGTGTGGGCGAGCGGTTTGCTGATATCAACGTTGTGGCCAGAGTGCCCCATGGTGGCGGTGGGGTTATGGTATGCGCAGGCATAAGCTACGGACAACGAACACAACTGCATTTTATCGATGGCAATCTGAATGCACAGAGATACCGTGACGAGATCCTGAGGCCCATGTTGTGCCATTAACCCGCTGCCATCACCTCGTTTCAGCATGATAATGCACAGACCCATGTCGCAAGGATCTATCCTGGAAGCTGAAAATGTCCCAGTTCTTCCATGGCCTGCATACACACCAGACATGTCACCTATTGAGTATGGTTTTCTAATCCACGCCAATACTTTTTTTTAAAGGTATCTGTGACCAACAGATGCATACAGTGGTGAAAAAAAGTATTTAGTCAGCCACCAATTGTGCAAGTTCTCCCACTTAAAAAGATGAGTCACCTGTAATTTTCATCATAGGTACACGTCAACTATGACAGACAAATTGAGAGAGAAAAAAATCCAGAAAATCACATTGTAGGTTTTTTATGAATTTATTTGTGAATTATGGTGGAAAATAAGTATTTGGTCACCTACAAACAAGCAAGATTTCTGGCTCTCACAGACCTGTAACTTCTTCTTTAAGAGGCTCCTCTGTCCTCCACTCATTACCTGTATTAATGGCACCTGTTTGAACTTGTTATCAGTATAAAAGACACCTGTCCACAACCTCAAACAGTCACACTCCAAACTCCACTATGGCCAAGACCAAAGAGCTGTCAAAGGACACCAGAAACAAAATTGTAGACCTGCACCAAGCTGGGAAGACTGAATCTGCAATAGTTAAGCAGCTTGGTTTGAAGAAATCAACTGTGGGAGCAATTATTAGGAAATGGAAGACATACAAGACCACTGATAATCTCCCTCGATCTGGGGCTCCACGCAAGATCTCACCCTGTGGGGTCAAAATGATCACAAGAACGGTGAGCCAAAATCCCAGAACCACACGGGGGGACCTAGTGAATGACCTGCAGAGAGCTGGGACCAAAGTAACAAAGCCTACCATCAGTAACACACTACGCCGCCAGGGACTCAAATCCTGCAGTGCCAGACGTGTCCCCCTGCTTAAGCCAGTACATGTCCAGGCCCGTCTGAAGTTTGCTAGAGTGCATTTGGATGATCCAGAAGAGGATTGGGAGAATGCCATATGGTCAGATGAAACCAAAATATAACTTTTTGGTAAAAACTCAACTCGTCGTGTTTGGAGGACAAAGAATGCTGAGTTGCATCCAAAGAACACCATACCTACTGTGAAGCATGGGGATGGAAACATCATGCTTTGGGGCTGTTTTTCTGCAAAGGGACCAGGACGACTGATCCGTGTAAAGGAAAGAATGAATGGGGCCATGTATCGTGAGATTTTGAGTGAAAACCTCCTTCCATCAGCAAGGGCATTGAAGATGAAACGTGGCTGGGTCTTTCAGCATGACAATGATCCCAAACACACCGCCCGGGCAACGAAGGAGTGGCTTCGTAAGAAGCATTTCAAGGTCCTGGAGTGGCCTAGCCAGTCTCCAGATCTCAACCCCATAGAAAATCTTTGGAGGGAGTTGAAAGTCCGTGTTGCCCAGCGACAGCCCCAAAACATCACTGCTCTAGAGGAGATCTGCATGGAGGAATGGGCCAAAATACCAGCAACAGTGTGTGAAAACCTTGTGAAGACATACAGAAAACGTTTGACCTGTGTCATTGCCAACAAAGGGTATATAACAAAGTATTGAGAAACTTTTGTTATTGACCAAATACTTATTTTCCACCATAATTTGCAAATAAATTCATTACAAATCCTACAATGTGATTTTTTGGATTTTTTTTTCTCATTTTGTCTGTCATAGTTGACGTGTACCAATGATGAAAATTACAGGCCTCTCTCATCTTTTTAAGTGGGAGAACTTGCACAATAGGTGGCTGACTAAATACTTTTTTCCCCCACTGTATCTGTAATCCCAGACGTGAAAACCATAGATTAGAGCCTAATGAATGTATTTGAATTGACTGATTTCCTTATATGAACTGTAACTCAGTAAAATCTTTGAAATTGTTGCATGTTGCGTTTATATTTCTGTTCAGTATATTTCAACAGGGAAGTGAGGTAGGTTGGAAGCTTGTGGAGCAGAGCTTTGCAAACAAAAAGGGAGTAATGAAGTGATCTAGAGGACTTTAGTGAGGTCCAGCCGACCTTCTGATACAGGATGCAGTGATGAGTATTAAAACTGTCACCTGTAATAAAGCAAAGGGCGCTATGGTAGAGGGCATCCAAAGGTTTAAAGGTAGTGGCTGCTGCATTCTGGTAAATGGTGTCACCATAGTCAAGAATTGGCAGGAAAGTTGACTGTACAATCTGCTTCCTGCTGTTCATGGAGGCAATATCTACATAGGTGTACAGAGGCCCATTATCAGCAACCATCAGTCCTGTGTTCCAATGGCACGTTGTGTTTGATAATCCACATTTTTCATTTTAAAAGGCTAATTGATCATTAGAAAACCCTTTTGCAATTATGTTAGCACAGCTGAAAACTGTTGTGCTGATTTAAAGAAGCAATACAACTGGCCTTCTTGAGACTAGTTGAGTATCTGGAGCATCAGCAATTGTGGGTTCGATTACAGAATCAAAATGGCCAGAAACAAAGAACTTTCTTCTGAAACTCGTCAGTCTATTTTTGTTCTGAGAAATGAAGGCTATTCTATGCGAGAAATTGCCAAGAAACTGAAGATCTCGTACAACGCTGTGTACTACTGACTTCACAGAACAGCGCAAACTGGCTCTAACCAGAATAGAAAGAGGAGTGGGAGGCCCTGGTGCACAACTGAGCAAGAGGACAAATACATTGGAGTGTCTAGTTTGAGAAACAGGCGCCTCCACAGGTCCTCAACTGGCAACTTCATTAAAAGGCACCCGCAAAACACTAGTCTCAACGTCAACAGTGAAGAGGCGACTCTGGGATGCTGACCTTCTATGCAGAGTTGCAAAGAAAAAACATATCTCAGACTGCCCATCTTAATCTTTTGTTTTTATTGCTTTTCGTTCGAAAACAAGGACATTTCTAAGTGACCCCAAACTTTTGAACGGTAGTATGTATATATATGTCACCACCTGGCAATCTGAGCTGGAGGCAGTATGCATTTTCAAAACATATACTTAAATTGTTTGAAACCTGGACGTTTTACTTCATATTATGAGGCATGTCTTACCTTGCTTCAAAGTAGCCTAGCCAAAATCCGATTTTGCATACTGCCTCCAGCTCAGATTGCAAGGTGGTGACACGCTGATAGCCTGCCTACCGTACTGCCTATATGGCGAATGGAGTACGCGCTTCAATTAGGAGTTGAGAAATAAAAAATTGTGGCAGTAGAAAGCGCCTCTTTTTAATCGTGGCCATCAAAACTCTGTTTTTAACACACTATTGCATTTAGAATTGTTGCACAATGATTGGGCTTATAAGAACACGTTTCACTACAGCAACAAATCGGTGGGAAGAGCTGCAGCTTTCGCTGTCCGACAGGTGATATTCCGCTCTAAGTAGGCTCTGTATGCTGTGCGCATGTGATAAATAAGATACATGACGACTAACGAAAATACACATGTACCAATTTAATTGCACTAAATCATGCAAATTAACCTTTAGACCGATAAGCATGAACAGTCAAATGTATTTTCTGCGGCTAACCGATTAACAGTTAACCATCAACATCCCTAGTTTATGCTTACTTCGATTATATGATCTTACACAGATTAAGATCATCATTGTAAGGTGTTTACATGACTAATGCCAAACTGAGTATTGCCATAATCATCTTAATATCGAATTATTAGTGCATGTAAACATGGTCAATGACATGGATATTTCATTTATGACATCAATATTTTCAAAGGCTACCAGATCAGTGTCAATGTCTATTAATGCAGCAACTAGTTTGTCAGTAGACAAATGGCGTCTTGTCTTCCTCCTGCCCATCACTTTCTATAATACTATCTCTGACTTCCATCTCGCCGCTCTTAAATGCCCCTTGCTCCAAAGAAATGGGGAGTCATCTCATTATTAGCTCCGTGGTTTACTCTTTTACCCGTGTCATACAAACACTAGAATCAAGGAGGATAGGTGTAACATTTAAGCTGATGGCCTAAGCTAAGTTAAAAGTGTGTGTGTGTCTGCATGTTGCATACTTAGTGACAATGGAGGGCATGGGGATCTCCAGGAACTGCTCTCTGAGGGGCACAAAGGGCAGGAGGCCGGTGTAGAAGAGCCCCACCAGCATTAGAACCCTGCGCATGCTGAACAGCACTGGGATACGAGGGTTCTACAACACAGTCAGAGAAAAGCAGAAGGTGGTGATGAATACAAGTCCGCAATCCAGCTTTCCTGGTATGACAAAGAACTCAGTCCTCCTATGTGCTAAAAGGTTCTTCCCAAACGGTCATCATAAAAATGGGTACATATCATGTGCACTTCAAGTTTATGTTGATCAAGGTAAATATTATCAAGCATAAACAGAATATATAATTATACAAGGCAATTAGCCTTTGGTTACCTCCTTGTAACACTTCTGCACAATCTGGTTGCTAGAGTTGCCCCAAACAGTGAGGTGTTCTCTGTCATACTTCACAACCAGCTCTGAGACCTGCAGAACAAATTCACAACCCACCACAATGACAACCATTTGATGAGAACACTTATCCCATCACACACTCAAAGCACCCACTTCTTTCCTGAAATGTCTTACCCCAGGGCACACACACACAGACACACCTTCTTGATAAGTGTGTCATTGTTGACCTTGATGTCGATGTTGACAGGGGTCTTCGGGAAGGCCTCGAACACGTCCCTGAGGAGAGGAATGCGTTTGTCCTCCCCTCCCTCACAGACGCATTCTGTTGACACAGACAGGGAAAAAATAAGGACACATCCACACCTGCCAAAGCAGCATGTACCGCATACAAACAGTGATACTCACCTCTCTGGAAAGTCACACCAAGCTTGCACAGGTAAGGAGGCAGATCCTATAGAGAACAAACATAGTACACACATTTTATCATGCATATCCCTTTTAGTGTTGTCACGATACCAGTATCGCGATACTAGGAAGTAAGGAAGTAAAGGAAACAAAACATGAAGCGGACTTCATTACTTGAGGAAAACATTCCTAATGTTGGAAAAAAAACAGCCTTATGTAGTCACCCAGAGTCACATTTGTTTATTTTGCAAGCTATAGCTTGCAAAAGTAGGTTTTAAAGGACCATAGAGTTTAGTTTGCTTCGTGTTCTCTTTTTTGCCAAAGAAAATCTGATATCGCACTAATCCCTTTAGATGTATTATTTGGTCAAAAGTCAGATTTAAGCTTTTGACAGGATCTATTCTAATAGGGAGATAAGTACAACAAAAGACTGGGGAGTAAAACTACATGAAAGCTGAGTTCAAGACCAGACCAGGAAAGAGGCGTCTAAAATAGCCAAAGACAGGAAGAAATGGAGGGACCTTGTGGAGTCCTTACCGACCACTTGCTGCAATGAGGCCTAGGTAAAGTACGTAGGCTAAGTTTTATATGACTGTTGAGAAGCCAACCTTGCAATACTCACGGCGTAGGCCACGTCAGAGAGGTGGGCACAGACGCCAGTCGACCTCTCCAGGTTGGCATCATGTAACACGACCACCTGCTCGTCCTTGGTCATGTGACAGTCCAGCTCCAGCATGTCAGTGCCAAGGTCCACTGCACTGGACACATGTAAAGGAGACAATAACACACACACACACACACACTAGTACCACACCAGCAGGAAGTTGAGGATCGCATCAACAAATCTAGACAGGGTACACACACACATAATGGATTTCATGCTGCTTGCTGAACAGTATATCTTCCTCCCCTACTGGGATTTATCTGTCTCGCAAACACACATGACCGCCCTCTTGACAATGTCTTAGCCAACTACACCACCGAAACGCTAGCAAGTCGATGGCACAGGTGTTGGCATTTCAAGCTAAGGAGTGAGGTTAACCAATTCAACTCCGTTAACTACACTTCAAAATGGCTCCTACTAAGTGGTGTGTATTCATGGAGGCCAAGAGAAGCCAGGCTTCCCCCCAATAATTGACCAATATACACTACCAGTCAAAAGTTTGGACACACCCACTCATTCAAGGGTTTTTCTTTATTTTTACATTGTAGAATAATAGTGAAGACATCAAAACTATGAAATAACATATGGAATCATGTAGTAACCAAAAAAAGTGTTAAACAAATCAAAATATATTTTATATTTGAGATTCTTCAAATAGCCACCCTTTGCTTTGATGACAGCTTTGCAGACTCTTGGCTTTCTCTCAACCAGCTTCATGAGGTAGTCACCTGGAATGCATTTGAATTAAAAGGTGTGCATTCTTAAAAGTTAATTTGTGGAATTTCTTTCCTTCTTAATGCGTTTGAGCCAATCAGTTGTGTTGTGACAAGGTCGGGGGGGGGGGTAAAAGACCAAGTCCATATTATGGCAAGAACAGCTCAAATAAGAAAAGAGAAATGACAGTCCATCATTACTTTAAGACATGAAGGTCAGTCAATACGGAACATTTCAAGAACTTTGAAAGTTTCTTCAAGTGCAGTCGCAAAAACCATCAAGCGCTATGATGAAACTGGCTCTCATGAGGACTGCCACAGGAATGGATGACCCAGAGTTACCTCTGCTGCAGAGGATACATTCATTAGAGTTACCAGCCTCAGAAATTGCAGCCCAAATAAATGCTTCACAGAGTTCAAGTCACAGACACATCTCAACATCAACTGTTCAGAGGGGACTGTGTTATGGTGGAGGAGGTGTTATGGTGTGGGGGTGTTTTGCTGGTGACACTGTCTGTGACATTTATTTAGAATTCAAGGCACACTTAACCAGCATGGCTACCACAGCATTCTGCAGCGATACGCCATCTCATCTGGTTTGGGCTTAGTTGGACTATCATTTGTTTTCTTTGGCTCAAGAAGAAGCACATTAAGGTCCTGGAGTGGCCTAGCCAGTCTCCAGACCTTAATCCCATAGAAAATCTGTGGAGGGAGCTGAAGGTTCGAGTTGCCAAATGTCAGCCTTGAAACCTTAATGACTTGGAGAATATCTGCAAAGAGGAGTGGAACAAAATCCCTCCTGAGATGTGTGCAAACCTGGTGGCCAACTACAAGAAATGTCTGACCTCTGTGATTGCCAACAAGGGTTTTGCCACCAAGTACTAAGTCATGTTTTGCAGAGGGGTCAAATACTTATTTCTCTCATTAAAATGCAAATCAATTTATAAAAATGTTGACATGCGTTTTTTCTGGATTTTTTTGTTATTCTGTCTCTCACTGTTCAAATAAACCTACCATTAAAATGATAGACTGATCATGTCTTTGTCAGTGGGCAAACGTACAAAATCAGCAGGGGATCAAATACTTTTTTCCCCTCACTGTATATATATTTTTAAATACATAAAATAATGCATCTTTCGTCTCTCTGTGTTTCATAATTTTCCTTCAATGCGCAAGAGGCTGAATGTATTTCACTGGAGAAAGCATCAAAGCGAGCGAAACAGCGCCCCTCTGTCTCTGTACGTGTAGCCCATCTATCTGATGCTGTCTGGTCAAAGAGTATGACATTGTTGCTGCCCGTTGCTTTGAATGCAAGGGAAGCCAGCGAGCATTTGGCCTTCCTTGATAAAAAAGTGTAAAATAATAGCCAATCAGCATTGAGCTAAACTGAGTGAGCTCAATTGTGAAAGGTCCTGGTGCACCAAAAATAAGTGTCAAGGGAAGCCAGTTCGGATTTGGCTTCACACCAATCACATCACATCAAAAGGAAAACGTCATTGACAGAAAAAACTTGAATTGTTGCATCTCGTTGTGTCATTGTCCTCCAGTGGCTAGCTTGCTAAAATTGGCCCTTTCTTAAATTAGCCATGGATGGAGATAGGAATTTGGACTTGTGGACTTTACTTAATTCAACGTGCTTGCCAATGATTATAAACGGCATTCTGATCTGATAAAAAAATAATATTGTAAAGTGGTTGTCCCACTGGCTATCATAAGGTGAATGCACCAATTTGTAAGTCGCTCTGGATAAGAGCGTCTGCTAAATGACGTAAATGTAAAATGTAAATTATCTAACCATAAATTCATACATTGTGCCCCTGGCCTGAGAGGGTGGAAGTTCAATATGTAGCTAGATGTAGTAGGCTAATGTTAACTAGCTGGCTCAACGTTGCCCATGAAAATAAGTTAGGCTAGCAAGCAAGCATTTTAGCCATGTAGCCTTGGAAAACTAAAACTAAAAGCATGTACTATATGACAGAGTCATAGACCATTTCATCAACATGAAAGAGAGGAGAAAACAATTATTTGAATCCATTTTGAATTCAGGCTGTAACACAACAAAATGTGGAATAAGTCAAAGGGTATGAATATTTTCTGAAGGAACGGTATATATCATGGTGGCAAGGCATATGAAATAACAGGTTATAGAGCAAACAATGCAAGATTGATGTCATGTCAAGGTTGGTGTCATGTCATTATGGCAAAATATGGTCTGTGATCTGTCAGTTACAACATCCACACATAGTACATGATAAAGCACTCCAGCACAACGATGTGACATGATTCATACTTTTGAGTCTAGACTACAATTACACACAATCATCCTCTACTAGTAATAAAACAAACTTGATGATATGAGTAATTTTGGCAAGCTGAATAATCCACTCAGCAGAAGTATATTTTACTCTTAAGGACATCTGGTCCCATCTGCCTACTTCCTTCATAGAGAGAGTGTAGGTTTATCATCAATTAGGTTCCATGATATATCTTCTTATGGCATTGCTTGCTGTTAATCTGGATATTTAGTCTAATCCTCCTGTGTTGGCCTATGTAAAACATGACATGGTGCAGCACGATTCAATGGGAGGATATGGTCTTGACTCACTGCTTGAAAGCTGCCATGGTGTTCTCCAGGTTTTCACCTGCCCCTGCAAATACAGACAGGACAGAGGAGTTGGTAAGAGGCAAGTCAGCAAGATGTCAGTATGAACATGTATGCACTCACTAACTGTAAGTCGCTCTGGATAAGAGCGTCTGCTAAATGACTAAAATGTAAATGTCTTGAGGAACAGCACTGCCTTTTGTACTTTCAGTTTCATGGGTGTGTCATGTATGGATGAAGCAAGATTCCAGCAACACTCACCTCCACGATGGGATATGTGTCTGCTTAGGAATGGCTCTCTCTTCCTCCGATGCAGAAGTGTTGGGCATTTCAATAACAAGGCAGAGGTGAGCATGTACCCCGTCACCGTAGACAGCAGGTAGACAGCAGCACACATCTCTGATTCTCCCTTAACTCAACTGGGAAAGGTAACATGCATGATCAAACATAACTACACTAGCAAATACTGATAAGTCACCATGATTCAGCTTTAATACGTGTAAAAAAAAAATAAATGTACACGTTCATACTGCTGCACAGTAGCCCAATATTGGACTAAAGGAGCCTAATGTTAGGCTACTCCTTAGTCCAAGGACCTTACATGTTCTGTTTGGAAGCCAAAACAGCCAAATACTCAATCTAAACGTGAATCGATTCTCAATTGCGGTACAGTTCTAGAAACATAAATCCCTCTACTTTCATATCACACAAAAAATATTTCATAAATGCAAAATACACACTTTTTTAACCGGTTTTAACACAGTTGCAGCCGACAGTATTTTTCAGTGACGACACGTTTGTGGCGTCTGTCTTCTGTTTACACACAGTTGTTCGGAGACGCAGATAGCTAATTAGCAGAGATAGTCCACTCTGTCTTCCGTAAACATGCGCTGTAACATGGAAATATGGCCGTGTGGAAACCCTAACCCTATAAAAGGCGTGTATCAACTTAACCTTTAGTTTTTTGAAAAGTATTTCTCGTCGATATGAAAATAAGGTCCTTATGCTTCCAAAACCGTACCGCAAGCGATGCGTTTATAATGTTCAGACCGAGCGTTGTGGCTCTTAACAAACCTCCCCCTAAAGAAGACGCCTTCGTCCAATAAATGACTCTTATGTGTAATGTAATGGAACCAATTATTTTATATACATCATTGAATAGAACTGAGAGTCATGATCAAGGGCTAGCTGTCCAGTAGCAATGCCAAAGATGCAATAATGATGGCAATTAGCTAGAAATTGAATGACAGATGCCATCCGTGTAGATTGGCTAAAAATAGCTAAAGTTTGTGAATGTGTTTAGCTACAGTAGTGTGAGCCAACAAATTGCATTTTACCTTTAAGTGACAGCCTAATGCCCGAGAAGCCGGTGTTTGGAGGATATATTGGCACGGGTGTTGTTAGGCCTGGCAAACCGTATCAATATATCCTCCAAACAACGGCTTTGAGGGCATTATCACTTTTATACAACGGGTTACCAACATATTCAAATAATGATTTACATATTTTAATTAAAAACGTTATTTTTATGAATGTATTCATAATATTTCATCCTTCCACAAGATATAGTCAAGACACAAATCTATGGTTGCTACCTAAACCTGCTGGTACTTCGTTCTATCGGTTCGGTTGTCAGAGACGTGACCCAATCCTTAAGTATTTTTGTTCAGTATCTATGGACGCGACCCAGACGTTCGTTCTAAATGTTCTATTGCCATACTGGTTGGCAACGTTCTTATCCCTTGCTTGCTAGCTAGATAGCTAGCTAGCCAACTATGGCTAACTTACAGTCATGTCAAACAGTGCTGCCAGAATAACAACAAAGTAGCTGCATTTGCATTTGTTTAAGCTGTTTTCTAGTGACATTTATTTGGATACATCCATAACAATGAGCTAATGATGCGCGATTTCACCTGGCATAGAAAATGTGCTCACTCCTCAGGACACTGTTGTTCAGAGGAGCTAGCCATCAACACAGCTAACACAATCACTTCAAACTGAAGCTGGGAAGACTGTAAACTAGCTGCACTTCGTTCCGTTTGACCTGTTTTCTATTGATATTTCTTTGTATATATCCATAAAAACGATGCCGATTCATGATTTCGACTGGCTGAGAAAAGCTGCCTGCCTGTCTGTCTCATCCCGACACATTCATTACTCTGTGACAGTTGGAGATCGAATTTGAATATTGAAACAATGTTGCAAATGTCGGAGACGGACAGCAAAGTTTATACAAATCTCAGCTGTTGAAAACTAAATATTAGTCTAAAGGAAATGTGAGATAATGTCTAGATGCTTTTTATAGTGGAAATCAAAATAAAAAATTGCCTGGCTGGGCTGATGAGACAGTAGATTGCATAGTCAGATGGAACAGAGTAAATAGCCATTTTAAAGTCATAGATTTAGCCAGTGGTAATTTGTGGATTATAAACTGGGTTGTTCGAGCCCTGAATGCTGATTGGCTGACAGCCGTGGTATATCAGACCATATACCACTGGTTTGACAAAACATTTATTTTTATTGCTCTAATTACATTGGTAACCAGTTTATAATAGCAATAAGGCACCTCGGGGTTTGTGATATATGGCCAACATACCACGGCTAATGGCTGTGTCCAGGCACTCCGCGTTGCGTCGTGCAAAGGACAGCCCTTAACCGTGGGAAATTGCCCATATACCACACCTCCTCGGGCCTTATTGCTTAAATAGACACCGGCTGGAATGCGGTTTTAACCAATCAGCATTCAGGATTAGACCCACCCGTTATATAATTGACAACAAACAAACTTTTCTTCTGGATGTCTGGAACTTCACGTCCGGTGATTGTCAATGTTTCTGCATGACCTGTCAGCTGAAAGCTATTGCGTCTGCAATGACAGATAACGGAAATCTTCTTCTTCTTTTTTTCTTTCTTTAAAAAGTTTTATGGCAGACTACACCAATTGGTGTATTGTCGCCACCTACTGTACGTGGTGTTGAAACAAAACAAAAATTATATATTCCATTGCGGGAAGGGGGGACCCGAGATAATACAAAAATAAATCGAACAACCATCCCACTCCTTCAGTCACATTCAAATCACATCATTACACAGGCTTCCTGTGAGGACGGAGTATTCATCGACAGGATTCCTTGTAATGCCTCTGCAGAAAAGTCCCAAAAAACGCTCAGTCGCACTCACAATGATGCATATTTTCTCCGATTTCCTCTCCATTTGCGCTGTGCAGTTGATAACCAAAGTAATAAACGCAACAAAGTCCACCTTCTTAACATGCAACATGTCAGGATCCCTCTGTTGACAAGGAACATCATATTGTGTCTCTACTCCTACTTACATTACTTCTTCAACTTCACTCCTTTTTCCCACTTTCTTCTTCGTCTTCTTCTTCTTTGGGGTTTATCGGCGGTTGGCATCCAATTGTTGCATTACCACCCCCAATTGGACTATGATATAAATCCATTATACTTTCTGATACAAACGGGAAAAGGAAAAAATAAACATAAAAAATATATATATATATTTTAAAAAATACACCCTTCCAACTAACCATACACTCTTTAAAAACCCACTACCCCATTCCACTACTTTGACCCTATCTGCTCCTGCACCTTGCCAACGGCCAGGGAGGACGGGACAACACCACTCAACACACCCTGAAACTCTTCTGAAGTCAAATCCCCTATACCCAAATACTTCTCTGCAGCCACCACAACATCTATTTTCTGTGATTTACGATCCATTACTGCAGTACAATTGATAACTATTGCTATGAACGCTAAGAAGCCAACCTTACTTAAGCATATATCACTCGTTGGCCTATCCCTCTGTGCTGGCACAGATCTACTACTCACAGGGATCCTCTCAGGATCCCTCACCCTTGACCCATCCTCCTCTACTTTCTTCACTGCCTCAGCATACGACACCTTCTGCACTACTCTGACTCTGGCCACCTCAACCTGCCTCTCTCGCACCGGACACTTCCAATCCCCAGCAACATGGGCACCCCTACAGTTGACACACACAACTTTATCCACTGAAACTACACAATCCTCTGTCCCATGCCCTCGTGCACACTTCCCACATCTTGGAATCTCCCTCCTACACACTGCTGCGACATGACCATAAACGTTGCACCTGAAATACCGCAGTGGATTCGGCACAAAAGCTCTAACAGGATGACTGATATATTCTAACATGACTTTGTCGGGTAAAGACTCCGACTCAAAACTCAAAGGACTGACCGTGACTCCTCTGTTTCACCACGCTCACCACCGGATCTGCGCGGCACCAAACGGTGGGTATCACAAACACCAGGAATCTTCAACTTAAATTGCTCCACCTTCACACTTATCACTACCCCATAAATCATTCCAATCAATGTGCCCTATTCCTAAGCGCAAAGCAAGAAACAGATCTTGACCCAAGTTGTGTGACACGGAGCGCCCGCTCCCTCTGGGCAGAAGAAACACAAACAAATATCATAAATCCACTACAGGTTACAGGTTACCTTCACTGATTCAACTGCACCCTGAAACCACAAATGTATCTGCCAAAAGGCAAGGATCCACTTTCTCCAAAAATGTCACTCCTACTGGACCAGATTCTTCTTGATCATGTCCATCTATGTCAGGCTTGGGCTCCGAGCTCTTCATCACACCTTCCACCTCACTTAACTCACCCTCATTCACTTCCATTTCACCTCCAGAACTTGGTCTGGCTTAGGGCTCACTCTGTTTGCGCTTGACAGCAAACTTCTTCGACACACCTCCTCCCTCTTTTCCGCCATCTTCAACAGATTGACTCAACCTCCGCCTCCCTAATTCTCTTCAACCTATTCTTCCTCTCTTTTTCCCTCTATTCCTCCTCCGAAATCCAATTAAACAACTCCTTGTGAAAATATTCCACTTTTCTGCATTGAAATGTATTTCTTGCCTCCTCGAGTGACGCCATCTCTACTGCCACTCCATCCATCTGTTGTTCTCCTTTGCACACAGCTGATACTTTGTAGCCCATGTGATAACAGAAAACGGTGCTCGTTATCATTATTGCAAAATTGCTGATTGGCCGCATCTAAATATTATTCTTCTCTGGTATAACGGCTTTCGCAACAATTGGATGTGCATTCCGCCACCTACTGTGCGGGTGGATAATAAAGATCCCAAAAAGGAAATAAAGCGTGGTAAAAATATTCATACAAACTATTAAAAAGAAAGTTAAACTAAGCTAAATAAACTTGCTTTTCTGTTAAAATTCTAATCAGGTCTTTTCACAGGCTTAGAAGGATCCTGTGAGTGCATTACATTTTCTGGTGACAGTAGTCCTTGCAGTGCTTCTGCCGTGAAGTCTTGGAGCCCCAAAATCTTTTCAGCTGCACACTTGTGCAGTACAATTAATAACTGTGGCTATAAATGCTACAAAATCCACCTTCTTCACAATGAGTGCATCCAGATTACTTGATTGACATAAAACATTTGCAACTGGTTGCGGTGCATCCACCGCCATATCTTCTTCAGCAATGTGGCCTTTTGCTCCTTCAACTCTCTTCACCGCCTCCACATAGGAGATCTGCTGTACAGCCCTGATCCTTGACACCTCAACCTATTTCACCCTAACAGTGCACTCAAGGAAGTCCAGAGTATGATCCCCACCACAGTTGCAACATTTTCCATTCACAGATTCTTCAATAGCATACTTCTTCTGTCTGCAAGCATATGACTTGTGGCCATATCTTTTGCAAATCCCACACTGTAGTGGTTTGGACAAAAATGCTCTCACGGCATGCTTCACATGTGCATATAGAGTCTCCTCAAACAACAATAGTATCGAAAGGCTTTTCTCCTTCTTTCCATTTACCATACAGGTCAGGCAACGTGCCTTGACCACTCGTGGGATTTTCTGAATAAGGTACTCGTCATCTACAGTATATCTAACAAGACTCCAGATACACCGTAACTTCTTTGGCAGGCGCCCTGCTCCGAAGATGCAGGTCACTTGCGACGTGGGCAATTTTGCCAGATCCGGTGCACACCTCTTCTTCTCTTCATTTATACAACCAAAACAAGGCCTCTTCTAGTGTCCTTGATTGAATCAACCTTTCCCACTGCTCTCTTCACAGTCCTCGATAGTACAAATGGATCTCCCAAATGAACTTCCTTATTGGATTGATCCTTGTCTTCCACTATAACTTTTGTTCGTTTGATTTCACAATTTTCCATTAACTGTCACAAACTTCACTTCCCGCACTTTCAGAACCAAGTAACATTTCTGGTTCCGCCCACATCTTGGCTGCCGCCATGCTCACTGTGACTCACACAAACCACTGGTGACCATCTCAATATTCTAAAGTGCCCTTTTTTATGTCCTTAACCCTTCCTGTACTGACGTAGAGAATTATTCTATCACATACAGTAATTCAAATAAAAGCCACCAAATAAAATATAACCTAAATGCACCTTCCTTAACTATTTATTACATAATAACCTACTGAAATATGCATGTCCTTACAGCTGTGTATTGATAGCTTTTTGCCACATTACAAGGTACACAAACAAGAATGAGGATATATGCTCCTGATAATGTGCAGTCAGCACAGCACTAGGACTGTTGTCCAAAACAGGTGTTAGTCGCAGAAGTAAGAAAGAGGAATACAAGTTGGATTGGGAGGACGAGATGAAAGATGTGATAAACAGAAAATTGCAAGAGAGAACAATGTCCATGTCAATCAAGCATATTTGTAACAAAGTCAAAGTTCACTACCTGCCATAAACAGCCCATGGACACGTATTACACACTCCCTGAAAACGTTTCACATTACACGGTCAGTAACAGTTTGTTCATATAGACTCGAGCTGATCTCTGGTAGATTTAACAGCAAGACCCTGTTGACATTGCCTGTGATTTTGAGCAGTAGGCTTCTTTCAGCCAGAGGACACAAAATTCCAGGAGGACACTAAGATTTCAGCAATTGGGAATCTCACAAAAGTTAGAAAATATGCCTCCAAGTTTGACAGCTGCACTGCAAGAGTGGGAAAGTCTAGAGAAAGAGTATCATCAGATTCAGGTGAGATTTCAGATCCTATTCTAATACAAATAAAATACAATTTTATTTGTCACATGCGCTGAATACAACGGGTGTAGACGACCTTGAAAGGCTTACTTACACAGTTATATAGTGTTACAGTAATCACAGTGCTTCATCAAAAAGGAATAATCATTAGAATAGATTTAATAGGCTATACATTATTGTCAGTATCTTATATATTGATATGATGATATTTAAAATGTTGTTACCAGGAGAGTCACCGGCTATACTTGCAGAAACTAGATGAAGTTTCCAAGCTGCAGAGCAATTGCTCTTCCTCTATCGCCCACCAGCGGAGTAGACTGAAGGACATGTCTCAGTTAGTGAAGAAGTAAGTTACTGCACACATATACACACGCTCACACACACACACACCTTTGCTCTCCTTCTCTCTTTCTCTAAACGGTTTCATGCACCCTAACACACTGTTTTTCAAGGCCCTCTATCCATCCTTTATAAACAGATGTAATAAGGAGAGACTGACAGAGGAGGATGTAAAAACATTGGATGAAATCAAGGAGCACATCAAGGCAAGACCCAACACTTTCTTTGAAATGGAGGCTTTCCTTCCAAAGAAAAATGGGTATGAGTGTCACTACATTTAAAACATTATTTCACAGGTCTCGGGAGGGACATTTGAAAGAGTTGTTGGCTGTTTTCCTATTCTGAGGATTTATATATTTCAATGGCTAGTTAAATAAAACAATTCTCCTTCATATCTCACAAACTACAGGCTGTATCTCAATCTTGTTCTGGGCAATGTAAGCGTGACTCTTCTAAGCAAACAGTCAAAGTAAGTAGCTTCCACTTTAACTCTTAGAAATTTTAACATACTGTACTTCTTATCTAGTGAATTGTATATTTATATTAAAAAACATAAACCGATTAGTAGTCCTATGTCCCCATCAGACGGAGCTGATGAATAACAAATCATAAATCATGTTTCATGCTGTTTTCAGTCAAAGGTTGACGTGTAGATTTATGGAGATGGCAACAGAGTGACTTTGCATAATTAGAAACTCCCGAGTGGCGCAGTGGTCTAAGGCACTGCATTGCAGTGCTAGCTGTGCCACTAGAGATCCAGGCTCTGTTGTAGCCGGCCGTGACCGGGAGACCAATGGGGCGGCACACAATTGGCCCAGCGTCGTCTAGGGTAGGGGAGGGAATGGCCGGCAGGGATGTAGCTCAGTTGGTGTGGGTTCAGGGTTGTGGGTTCGATTCCCACGGGGGGTATGAAAAAATTAATTAATAAAATAATGTACAGTGGGGAAAAAAAGTATTTAGTCAGCCACCAATTGTGCAAGTTCTCCCACTTAAAAAGATGAGAGAGGCCTGTAATTTACATCATAGGTACACGTCAACTATGACAGACAAATTGAGGAAAAAAAATCCAGAAAATCACATTGTAGGATTTTTTATGAATTTATTTGCAAATTATGGTGGAAAATAAGTATTTGGTCACCTACAAACAAGCAAGATTTCTGGCTCTCACAGACCTGTAACTTCTTCTTTAAGAGGCTCCTCTGTCCTCCACTCGTTACCTGTATTAATGGCACCTGTTTGAACTTGTTATCAGTATAAAAGACACCTGTCCCAACCTCAAACAGTCACACTCCAAACTCCACTATGGCCAAGACCAAAGAGCTGTCAAAGGACACCAGAAACAAAATTGTAGACCTGCACCAGGCTGGGAAGACTGAATCTGCAATAGGTAAGCAGCTTGGTTTGAAGAAATCAACTGTGGGAGCAATTATTAGGAAATGGAAGACATACAAGACCACTGATAATCTCCCTCGATCTGGGGCTCCACGCAAGATCTCACCCCGTGGGGTCAAAATGATCACAAGAACGGTGAGCAAAAATCCCAGAACCACACGGGGGGACCTAGTGAATGACCTGCAGAGAGCTGGGACCAAAGTAACAAAGCCTACCATCAGTAACACACTACGCCGCCAGCGACTCAAATCCTGCAGTGCAAGACGTGTCCCCCTGCTTAAGCCAGTACATGTCCAGGCCCGTCTGAAGTTTGATAGAGTGCATTTGGATGATCCAGAAGAGGATTGGGAGAATGTCATATGGTCAGATGAAACCAAAATAGAACTTTTTGGTAAAAACTCAACTCGTCGTGTTTGGAGGACAAAGAATGCTGAGTTGCATCCAAAGAACACCATACCTACTGTGAAGCATGGGGGTGGAAACATCATGCTTTGGGGCTGTTTTTCTGCAAAGGGACCAGGACGACTGATCCGTGTAAAGGAAAGAATGAATGGGGCCATGTATCGTGAGATTTTGAGTGAAAACCTCCTTCCATCAGCAAGGGCATTGAAGATGAAACGTGGCTGGGTCTTTCAGCATGACAATGATCCCAAACACACTGCCTGGGCAACGAAGGAGTGGCTTCGTAAGAAGCATTTCAAGGTCCTGGAGTGGCCTAGCCAGTCTCCAGATCTCAACCCCATAGAAAATCTTTGGAGGGAGTTGAGTCTGTGTTGCCCAGCGACAGCCCCAAAACATCACTGCTCTAGAGGAGATCTGCATGGAGGAATGGGCCAAAATACCAGCAACAGTGTGTGAAAACCTTGTGAAGACTTACAGAAAACGTTTGACCTGTGTCATTGCCAACAAAGGGTATATAACAAAGTATTGAGAAACTTTTGTTATTGACCAAATACTTATTTTCCACCATAATTTGCAAATAAATTCATTAAAAATCCTACAATGTGATTTTCTGGATTTTTTTCCCTCGTTTTGTCTGTCATAGTTGACGTGTACCTATGATGAAAATTACAGGCCTCTCTCATCTTTTTAAGTGGGAGAACTTGCACAATTGGTGGCTGACTAAATACTTTTTTTCCCCACTGTATGCACTCACTAACTGTAAGTCGCTCTGGATAAGAGTGTCTGCTAAATGACTAAAATGTATCTTCCTCCTCAGATTTGCCTACAAAGATGAATATGAGAAATTCAAGCTGTACCTCACAGTTTTACTGCTCCTATTCGCCTTCATGTGTTATTTCTTTGTGAGCTACAGGTAAGCTTGAATAGCAATGAATAAGCCCACAAAATCTTCATAATTGTGACTTGACAGCAAATGAAGAGTTTTATTCTGAAACACAATACAGTGTATGTCCATTTTCAGAATTGTTGGTAAATGAGCTTTTATTGTTTAAAGAACCTATGAAAGAGATTGGTGTGTTTTTCACCATCTTGTCATGGCATGGGGTTGTTCAGTGACAAACATGTATTTGTTTGAAATCTATCACTTGATGGTCCTCTGTAGCTCAGTTGGTAGAGCATGGCGCTTGTAACGTCAGGGTAGTGGGTTCAATCCCCGGGACCACCCATACACAAAAAAAATGTATGCACGCACGACTGTAAGTCGCTTTGGATAAAAGCGTCTGCTAAATGGCATATTATTATTATTTCAGAGACAAATAATCATGTTTTGTTCCAAAATGCTATATACTGTATCTGCCGCACGCTCTGAGAAATAAGTAGTGATACTAGGTTTTACACAGTCAAATGTGACAAATAATGTGACATTTTTTATAAAGAATGAATACAAATGATACATTTGTGACATCAATATATATTTTTTAAATGTAAAAAAAAGTCTATACAATAATATGAGATCTGTATGTAAAATATTTACATTTGACATTTTAGTCATTTAGCAGATGCTCTTCTCCAGAGCGAGCGACTTACAGTTCATCTTAAGATAGCTAGGTGAGACAACCACATATCACAGTCAAATATACAGGATACGAACATTCCATTTTAGCTAAACAATGGCTATATAGCGATTTGCAACAAAACCCATTTTAATACACATCTAAAATCTATTAATTAAAAATCTGAGAACAGTAATATTTTACACACACATAAAGGTACCCATAAGCAATAAAATGTCATTCAACCCTGTCTAGTGTCTGAGTCTCTGTGTGTGTGTATGTGTGTGTGTATGTGTGTGTGCGTGCGCGTGTGCGTGTGTGCGCATGTGCGTGTGTGCGTGTGTGCGCATGTTTGTGTGTCTGTACCCTGTCTAGATTTGTTGACGCGATCTTCAACTTCTTGCTGGTGTGGTACTACTGCACCCTCACCATACGGGAGAGCATCCTCATCAGCAACGGGTCCAGGTAGGCCCATCAGTCTTCAGACCTAATCCCTGGCTGAGATACATCCTTACACAGCTTGAGCGTAAATTACTTTGGCAAAATAATAACTATTACAGTATGTTACAGTATGATGCTCTTCATATTCATATTTAGCCATGTCTATGTCTTTCCTGATTATTTTCTCGTTGTATTTGGTTGTTGTTTCAGGATCAAAGGCTGGTGGGTTTTCCACCATTATGTCTCAGCCTTTCTGTCTGGAGTCATGCTGACATGGTGAGCAAATTCAGGAAGCCCTTGTTGCCAATAGTTGATCACACACCAACCACACTGTAGGTTTTTTCATTGTCAGTTCCAGTTTCAAGCAAGGGTATGATAGATGGCAAACAGTTGAATCCAGTTTGCATCCAGTTTCTATTCCTTGTCAATTTCATTGTGGATCAAATTGTCCCCTTTGGTGTTAGCAAACCAGCACATTGAGTTCTGTAGCAACTCGTGAAAGTTATGTTGTATTAATAATAATAATAAAACATTTTATTTTAAGTTAATTTACTGCAGTGGGGTAAATCAGGGTCACACAGTGTTTCTTGGTAGTCTTAAACAAATCTACTTTGAAACAAAAGTATACACCTCACATACATGGTTATGGGCTTTAAAAAAAGAGGACATCTGTACCATGTCAGATATAGAGTTGAATTGTATTCAATTTTGAGTTTGCATCCCAATATTACACTTTATATATATATCACAGAAGACTGAAATATAACAAAACCATTTGAAATAGAAACACCAGATTTTCTGTGTATTTTTTAGATTTGTATAATGTTCATTAATTATGAAATTATGAAACATATTAATAACATTCCAACCAGGAGGCCACTAGAGGACGATTTTGTCATTTGACTGCAGGAAAGGGCTATGCGTTTTTCACGACAGCAGGATAAAAAGCAATTAAATCACATATTAAATAAGTAAGTATGTAAAAGTGCACTAAACATAAGGACAGACTAACCATGGAAAACACTAAAAATGATGAGTGCTTTGTAGGTGAGCATGAGCAATATGAAGATGATCCTGTATTGAACTGGGAGCCAGTGAAGTTCAACAGTATACAGTATACAATACCGTACACTGTATTCAACAGTCATTATCTGATATCTCTTAGGCCTGATGGATACCTGTACCAGAGTTTCAGGAACCAATTCCTCGCCTTCTCTTTGTATCAAAGTAAGCTTTCAAAACAAGTCTTAAAAAAACAGGAATACATTAGCGTTACAAAAATTACATAAAGTAATTGTTGAGTTTTAAAAAATGTCAACCGCCTCTTTGTGTGTGTGTGCGTGTGTGTGTGTGTGTGTGTGTGTGTGTGTGTGTGTGTGTGTGTGCTTGTGTATGTTCGGTGGCAACACAGGCATGGTTCACTGTATGCAGTACTACTATCAGAGCGGCTGTCTGTACAGACTAAGAACCCTGGGAGAAAGACACAACATGGACCTGACTGTGGGTGAGACACAATGTAATAATGACAATGACGCTCCATGTTATAGATACATAGTTACATAGAGATACATTTGTTTACGTCTACGCTGTGTCCATCTATCTTTTAGAAGGATTTCAGTCCTGGATGTGGCGAGGGCTGACATTTCTTCTGCCCTTCCTGTTTTTTGGACATGTGAGTATGGGATCTGGCTGTGGGATTCCTCCCAGCTCAGCATTAGTTGAGCTGGAGTTAGTTTGCTTTGTCACGTATATAATGCTGAGTCACATTGAGCCTACTTTGTTGTTGCATAGGGATTGCATAGTAAATCACACATACAGTGCCTACAAAAAGTATTCACACCCCTTGACCACATTTTGGTGTTTTACAAAGTGGGATTAAAATGGATTTAATTGTCATTATTTGTAAATCTATGAAATAACACATATGGAATGTGTAGTAACCAAAAAAGTGTTAAACAAATCAAAATATATTTTATATTTGAGATTCTTCAAATAGCCACCCTTTGCCTTGATGACAGCTTTGCACACTCTTGGCATTCTCTCAACCAGCTTCATGAGGTAGTCACCTGGAATGCACTTGAATTAATAGGTGTGCATTCTTAAAAGTTAATTTGTGGAATTTATTTCCTTCTTAATGCGTTTGAGCCAATCAGTTGTGTTGTGACAAGGTAGGGGGGGTATACAGAAGATAGCACTATTTGGTAAAAGACCAAGTCCATATTATGGCAAGAACAGCTAAAAAATGGAAAGCGAAACGACAGTCCATCATTACTTTAAGACATGAAGGTCAGTCAATACGGAACATTTCAAGAACTTTGAAAGTTTCTTCAAGGGCAGTCTCAAAAACCATCAAGCACTATGATGAAACTGGCTCACATGAGGACTGCCACAGGAATGGAATACCCAGAGTTACCTCTGCTGCAGAGGATAAGTTAATTAGAGTTACCAGTCTCAGAAATTGCAGCACATATAAGTGCTTCACAGAGTTCAAGTAACAGACACATCTAAACATCAACTGTTCAGAGGAGACTGTGTGAATCAGGCCTTCATGGTCGAATTGCTGCAAAGAAGCCACTACTAAAGGACACCAATAAGAAGAAGAGACCTGCTTGGCCCAAGAAACACGAGCAATGGACATTAGACCGGTGGAAATTTGTCCTTTGGTCTGGAGTCCAAATTTGAGACTTTTGGTTCCAACCGCCGTGTCTTTGTGAGACGCGGTGTTGGTGAATGGATGATCTCCGCATGTGTAGTTCTCACCGTAAAGCATGGAGGAGGAGGTGTTATGGTGTGGGGGTGCTTTACTGGTGACACTGTCTGTGATTTATTTAGAATTCAAGGCACACTTAACCAGCATGGCTACCACAGCATTCTGCAGCGATACGCCATCCCATCTGGTTTGGGCTTAGTGGGACTATCATTTGTTTCTCAACAGGACAATGACCCAACACACCTCCAGGCTGTGTAAGGCTATTTTACCAAGAAGGAGAGTGATGGAGTGCTGCATCAGATGACCTGGCCTCCACAACCCCCCGACCTCAACCCAATTGAGATGGTTTGGGATGAGTCGGACGGCAGAGTGAAGGAAAAGCAGCCAACAAGTGCTCAGCATATGTGGGAACTCCTTCAAGACTGTTGGAAAAGCATTCCAGGTGAAGCTGGTTGAGAGAATGCCAAGAGTGTGCAAAGCTGTCATCAAGGCAAAGGGTGGCTTTTTGAAGAATCTCAAATATAAAATATATTTTGATTTGTTTAACACTTTTTTGGTTACTACATGATTCCATATGTGTTATTTAATGGTTTTGATGTCTTCACTATTATTCTACAATGTAGAAAATAGTAAAAAATAAAGAAAACCCCTTGAATGAGTAGGTGTGTCCAAACTTTTGACTGTTACTGTATATCTTGATTAGATTAATCAAATCAAATGTTATTGGTCACGTACACATATTTTGCAGATGTTATCGCAGGTGCAGCGAAATTCTTGTGTTTCTAGCTCCAACAGTGCAGTAATACCTAACAATACAATACACACAAATCGCAAAATAAAAAGAAAGGAATTAAGAAATATCAGGATGAGCAATGTTAGAGTCCGGAATATAAATATATGTATATGATGGTGTGTATAGACATTATGGACAGTATATGAATAGAAAGGGTGTGAACAGCAGTAGTTATATAGGATGAGCCTTGACTAGAATACAGTATTGTCACGATCGTCTAGGAGTGAAGGAGACCAAAGCGCAGCGCGTTGAACGAACATGACTTTAATTAGAAAAAGCACACGAACGACAAAAACAATAAACCAAGACGACTAGTGAAGTCCACAGTACAACGACTGAAACGCGGAACAAAAACCCACAAACCAAGGAGAAACCACACAGTTTAAATATGGCTCCCAATCAGAGATAACGAGCCGACAGCTGACACTCGTTACGTCCGATTGGGAGTCATATGACTAATCAACGACAAAACCAAACATAGAAATGAACAACTAGATCCAACATAGAAATACACCCTAAATGAAAATAACAACCCTGGCTCAACAATCAGAGTCCCTGGAGCCAGAGTGTTACAGTACCCCCCCCTAAAGGTGCGCACTCCGGGCGCACCAGCATACAGTCTCGGGTAGGGTCTGGGTGGGCGTCTGTCCACGGTGGCGGTTCTGGCCCTGGTCGTGGTCCCCACCCCACCTTAGTCACCACCCGCTTCCCTAGCCTCCTCCACATGACCACCCTCAAACTTACTCCACCTGGATTTAGGGGCAGCACCGGGCTAAGGGACAGCACCTGGCTGGACGGCTCATGGCAGGCTGAAGGATCTGGCTGCTCATGGCTGGCTGACGGATCTGGCTGCTCATGGCTGGCCGACGGATCTGGCTGCTCATGGTTGGCCGACGGATCTGGCTGCTCATGGCTGGCCGACGGATCTGGCTGCTCATGGCTGGCGGAAGGCTCTGGCTGATCCTGTCTGGCAGAAGGCTCTGGCTGATCCTGTCTGGCGGAAGGCTCTAGCGGCTCTGGTCTGGCGGACGGCTCTGATGGCTCATGGCAGACGGGCGGCTTTGCAGGCTTTGGGCAGACGGGCAGTTCAGGCCCCGTTGGGCAGACGGCAGACTCTGGCCGTCTGAGGCGCACCGTAGTCTTGGTGCGGGTGGCAGGAACAGGCCGGGTCGGGCTGGCGACGCGCACCGTAGTCTTGGTGCGGGTGGCAGGAACAGGCCGGACCGGGCTGGCGACGCGCACCGTAGACTTGGTGCGGGTGGCAGGAACAGGCCGGGTCGGGCTGGCGACGCGCACCGTAGTCTTGGTGCGGGTGGCCGGAACAGGCCGGACCGGGCTGGCGACGCGCACCGTAGTCTTGGTGCGGGTGGCAGGAACAGGCCGGGTCGGGCTGGCGACGCGCACCGTAGACTTGGTGCGGGTGGCAGGAACAGGCCGGACCGGGCTGGCGACGCGCACCGTAGTCTTGGTGCGGGTGGCAGGAACAGGCCGGGTCGGGCTGGCGACGCGCACCGTAGTCTTGGTGCGGGTGGCAGGAACAGGCCGGACCGGGCTGTGAAGACGGACAGGAGGCCTGGAGTGAACAGCGGCCACCACCCGTCCTGGCTGAATGCCTACCCTCACACACTCTGTGTGAGGCATCAGCACAGGACGTACAGGGCGGTGTACCCCTGGCCTGGTGGCCTCCTGGATACTCCCCCTTTTCTCCTCCGTCAGCCCCGTCGTCCATGCCGTGTGCCCCCCCCTAAAAATGTTCTGGGGTTGACTCACGACCCTCCGACGATGGCCCTGCTGCCGCCGTTGCTCCTCACTCGCCAGGGCCTTGATCCTTCCCCAAGGTCCCTTGCCTCCGAGCATGTCCTCCCAGGACCACGATGTGCCCACCTGGGCCATCGCCAGCCTCTCTATCTCCTTGCCCGGTGCCTCCTCCCATGTCCAGTCTCCCTGCTCCTGGACACGCTGCTTGGTCTTTCTATGGTGGGTTATTCTGTCTGGACGGCTCTGGCGGATCCCGGCTGGACGGCTCTGGCGGATCCCGGCTGGACGGCTCTGGCGGATCCTGGCTGGACGGCTCTGGCGGATCCTGGCTGAACGATGCACCCCGTAGGCTCGGTGCGTTGAGCAGGGACAGGCCGGGCTGGGCTGGCGAAACGCACCACAGACTTGGTGCGGGGCGCAGGAACAGGCCGAGCTGGGCTGGCGACGCACCCCGTAGGCTTGGTGCGTTGAGCAGGGACAGACAGAACCGCACTGGGGACACACACCCCTGGCCCTACACGGGGATCAGGAACGGGCCGGACCGGACTGGAAACACCCCCCAGTACCTCTCGCCGTGCCTCCACACTTTCCATCCCCTTCGTAACCAGTGGCCCCCTTAAACTGGCGGCCATATCTGCCAACCTCTTGCACTCCTCCGGGCCGTACACCTTCTGCCCCGACGTCGTGAGCCCCCCCCTAAAAAATGTTCTGGGGTTGACTCACGACCCTCCGACGATGGCCCTGCTGCCGCCGTTGCTCCTCTCTCGCCAGGGCCTTGATCCTTCCCCAAGGTCCCTTGCCTCCGAGCATGTCCTCCCAGGACCACGATGTGCCCACCTGGGCCATCGCCAGCCTCTCTATCTCCTTGCCCGGTGCCTCCTCCCATGTCCAGTCTCCCTGCTCCTGGACACGCTGCTTGGTCTTTCTATGGTGGGTTATTCTGTCACGATCGTCTAGGAGTGAAGGAGACCAAAGCGCAGCGCGTTGAACGAACATGACTTTAATTAGAAAAAGCACACGAACGACAAAAACAATAAACCAAGACGACTAGTGAAGTCCACAGTACAACGACTGAAACACGGAACAAAAACCCACAAACCAAGGAGAAACCACACAGTTTAAATATGGCTCCCAATCAGAGATAACGAGCCGACAGCTGACACTCGTTACCTCCGATTGGGAGTCATATGACTAATCAACGACAAAACCAAACATAGAAATGAACAACTAGATCCAACATAGAAATACACCCTAAATGAAAATAACAACCCTGGCTCAACAATCAGAGTCCCTGGATCCAGAGTGTTACAAGTATATACATATCAAGAGGGTAAAACAGTATGTAAACATTATTCAAGTGAAAAGTGTTCAATTACTATTTACATAGGGCAGCAAATATTCACCCCCCCTGAGACAATACATGTTAGAAACACCTTTGGCAGCAATTACAGCTGTGAGCCTTTTTGGGTAAGTCTCTAAGAGCTTTGCACATCTGGATTGTACAATATTTGCCCATTATTATTTAAAATATTCTTCAAGCTCTGTCAAGTTGGTTGTTGATCATTGCTAGAAGGAAATGTTTAAGTCTTGCTATAGATTTTCAAGCTGATTTTAAGTTACAATTGTAACTAGGCCACTCAGGAACATTCAATATCATCTTGGTAATCAACTCCAGTGTAAATTTGGCCCAGTGTCTGTTGGAAAGAAGATCTGAAGCAGGTTTTCTTCTAAGATTTTGCCTGTGCTTAGCGGTGTTCTGTTTATTTAAAAAATGTTAAACTCCATAGTCGTTGCCAATGACAAGCATACCCATAACATGATGCAGCCACCACCATGCTTGAAAATATGAAGAGTGGTACTCAGTGATGTGTTGTGTTGGATTTTCCCCAAACATAACACTTTGTATTCAGGACATAAAGTTAATTTCTTTGTCTCATTTTTTGCATTATTACTTAAGTGCCTTGTTGCAAACAGGATGCATGTTTTGGAATATTTTTATTATGTACAGGCTTCCTTCCTTTCACTCTGTCATTTAGGTTAGTATTGTGGAGTAACTACAATGTTGTTGATCCATCCTCAGTTTTCTCATATCACAACCATTAAACTCTGTAACTGCTTTAAAATCACGATTGGTGTCAAGATCGTCTAAAACAGGAGACCAAGGCGCAGCGCGTTGAGTGAACATGATGACTTTAATTAGTAAAGTACGTCAATACAAAACAAAAGACGATAGTGAAGTCCACAGTGGCAATGACTGTACAGGAACAAAAACCCACAACCCTCATAAGAAAACACACAGAATAAATATGGCTCCCAATCAGAGATAACGAGCCGACAGCTGACACTCGTTACCTCCGATTGGGAGTCATCGACCAAACCTAGAAATGAAACCAACAGAAAGGCAAACCTAGAAATAACCCAAATGCCCAACATAACCAAACCAAAACCCAACAAAACAAAATACACCCTGGCTCAAATACACAAGTCCCAGAGCCAGAGTGTCACAGTACCCCCCCCTAAAGGTGCGCACTCCGGGCGCACCAGCATACCGTCTAGGGGAGGGTCTGGGTGGGCGTCTGTCCACGGTGGCGGTTCTGGCCCTGGTCGTGGTCCCCACCCCACCTTAGTCACTATCCGCTTCCGTAGCCTCCTCCACATGACCACCCCCCAACTAAACCCCACTGGATTAAGGGGCGGCACCGGACTAAAGGGCAGCACCGGACTAAGGGGCAGCACCGGACTAAGGGGCAGTACCGGACTAAGGGGCAGCACCAGGATAAGGGGCAGCACCGGGCTAAGGGACAGCACCGGACTCAAAGGCAGATCCTGGCTGGCTGGCTCTGGCGGGTCCTGGCTGGACGGCTCTGGCGGATCCTGGCTGGACGGCTCTGGCGGATCCTGGCTGGACGGCTCATGGCTGGCTGAAGGATCTGGCTGCTCATGGCTGGCTGACGGATCTGGCTGCTCATGGCTGGCTGACGGATCTGGCTGCTCATGGCTGGCTGACGGATCTGGCTGCTCATGGCTGGCTGACGGATCTGGCTGCTCATGGCTGGCTGACGGATCTGGCTGCTCATGGCTGGCTGACGGATCTGGCTGCTCATGGCTGGCTGACGGATCTGGCTGCTCATGGCTGGCGGAAGGCTCTGGCTGATCCTGTCTGGAGGAAGGCTCTAGCGGCTCCGGTCTGGCGGACGGCTCCGGCTCATGGCAGACGGGCGGCTTAAGCGCCTTTGGGCAGACGGGCAGTTCAGGCCCCGTTGGGCAGACGGCAGACTCTGGCCGTCTGAGGCGCACCGTAGGCCTGATGCGTGGTGCCGGAACTGGAGGTACCGGGCTGAGGACACGCATCTCAGGGCTAGTGCGGGGAGAAGCAACAGGGTATGCTGGACCCTGGGGACGCACATAAGGGCTAGTGCGGAGAGCCGGAACAGGGCATACTGGACCCTGGGGACTCTCATAACGCCTAGTGCGGAGAGCAGCAACAGGACGCACAGGACTCGGGGGACACACAGGAGACTTGGTGCGTGGTGTAGGCACTGGTGGGAAAAGGCTGGAGACACGTACCATACAGCTAGTGCGTGGAGGAGACACAGGGCTCTGCAGACTTACAGGAAGCCTAGTGCGTGGTGTAGGCACCGGTGGTACTGGGCTGGAGCGGGGAGGTGGCGCCGGAAATACCGGACCGTGCAGGCTTACTGGCCCCCTTGAGCACTGAGCCTGCCCAACCTTACCCGGGTTGATGCTCCCCGTCGCCCGACCAGTACGGGGAGGTGGAATAACCCGCACCGGCCTATGAGGGCGAACCGGGAACACCATGCGTAAGGCTGGTGCCATGTACGCCGGCCCGAGAAGACGCACTGGTGGACTGATGCGTTGGGCCGGCTTCATGACATCCGGCTCAATGCTCAATCTAGCCCGGCCGATACGTGGAGCTGGAATGTGTCGAACCGGGCTATGCCTGCATACAGGAGACACCATGCGCTCTACTGCGTAACACGGTGTCTGCCCGTACTCTCGCTCTCCACGGTAAGTCCAGGGAGTAGGCGCAGGTCTCCTACCTGACTTCGCCACACTCCCTTTTAGCCCCCCCCCAAGAAATTTTTGGGTAGTACCCACGGGCTTCCAGCCTCGACTCCGTGCTGCCTCCTCATACCACCTCCTCTCGGCTTTAGCTGCCTCCAGCTCTTCACGAGGGCGGCGATACTCTCCCGGTTGTGCCCAAGGACCCTTTCCATCCAGAATCTCCTCCCAAGTCCAAGAATCCTTTATAGGCGTCCATGAATCCTTCGGAGCAGGGTCCTGTTGCCGCTTGACACGCTGCTTGGTCCTTTTATGGTGGGTTTTTCTGTCACGATCGTCTAAAACAGGAGACCAAGGCGCAGCGCGTTGAGTGAACATGATGACTTTAATTAGTAAAGTACGTCAATACAAAACAAAAGACGATAGTGAAGTCCACAGTGGCAATGACTGTACAGGAACAAAAACCCACAATACCCACAGGAAAACACACAGAATAAATATGGCTCCCAATCAGAGATAACGAGCCGACAGCTGACACTCGTTACCTCCGATTGGGAGTCATCGACCAAACCTAGAAATGAAACCAACAGAAAGGCAAACCTAGAAATAACCCAAATGCCCAACATAACCAAACCAAAACCCAACAAAACAAAATACACCCTGGCTCAAATACACAAGTCCCAGAGCCAGAGTGTCACAATTGGTCTCATGGTGAAATCCTTGAGCGGTTTCCTTCCTCTCCGGCAACTGAGTTAGGAAGGATGCCTGTATCTTTGTAGTGACTGGGTGTATTGATACACCATCCACAGCCTAATTAATAACTTCACCATGCTCAAAGGGATATTTTTTTACACATCTACCAATCGGTGTCCTTCTTTGCGAGGCATTGAAAAACCTCCCTGGTCTTTGTGGTTGAATCTGTGCTTGAAATTCACTCCTCGATTGAGGGACCTTACAGATAATTGTATGTGTGGGGTACAGAGATGGGGTAGTAATTCAAAAATCATGTAAACCACTAATATTGAACACATAATAAGTCCATGCAACTTATTATGTGAATTAAAAAGCACAGTTTTACTCATGAACTTATTTAGGCTTGCCATAAGAAAGGGGTTGAATACTTATTGACTCAAGACATTTCAGCTTTAAATTTTTTTATGATTTCAAACATTTTCTACAAACAAAATTCCACTTTGACATTATGGGGTATTGTATGTAGGCCAGTGACACAAAATCTCAATTTTAAATTCAGGCTGTAACACAACAAAATGTGGAAAAAGTCAAGGGGTGTCAATACTTTCTGAAGGCACTGTAAATCTTCAGTCATATTGTAGAATTATGCTTTGTCATGTTTCAGCGGCTCCTGAACCAGACCTGGGTTTTAAACTTGAAAGAATAATTTCAAATACTTTATCTGTGCCAGTTTGAACTTGCCTGGATTAATAAACCAATAGAAAAGTCCAAAAACTGATAACCCTGCCCATCTGGAACTCCAGGCAGACTCAAGCACGTGCTAAAAGTATTTTTCAAGTATTTGAACCCTGGTCTGCCCTGAACATTTTATTGACCTAGCATTTGGTATTGTGTGTGTGTGTGTGTGTGTGTGTGTGTGTGTGTGTGTGTGTGTGTGCGTGCATGCGTGTGTATTACTTAATGTGTGTGTTTAAGATGTGTGTGTAAAGTAGGTAAGTGATGTTTTGTGTTGCAGTTTTGGCAACTCTACAATGGACTCTCTCTGTTCAAGATGGCTCGGCTCCCAGACTGTAAAGAGTGGCAGGTCAGTGTGCCCTCAGACAGCTTTCCTGATAGACATATTCTTTGCTCCGACACCCCCTAAAGTTATTCAGTTGATAATGATAAAGAGGGCCTCATGTCTAAGCAATGGTAATGTGTAAACATGGCATTTGGTTTGTCCATAACATTTTTATTAATTTTTTTAACGTATAATGCCCTTTTCATTATAGTCTCCCATCCATAAATGCAGACAAAAAGCCATCCAATTTTCTATTATATAATAATAAAAAAGCTGTCTTCCCCATCTTACGCTAGTATTTACAATTTCTGCTGTGTCATTCTAGGTCTCAATGTGTGGAATCTCATTCCTCATTCTGTTTATGGGCAACTTCCTCACTACTGTTGCAGTAGTCCGCACCAAGCTCAAGAGCAAGGACCAGGCAAAGCCCAAGGGTCAGTGAGATGGAGAGATGAAGAGGATACACAGAAACTGCATCCGCTGGTTCTTCCCATAGGAGCTTCTCCAGAACAATTCTATAATCATGGCTCATTTACCAGTGATAGAGGATCATGGGCAGTATTCAATGATCCCCTACTTTGGTTGCTTCGGGGTTGCTACTGTATAGATTTCTGAATTGGTTAAATATGAAGACGTTTCTGCTCAATACAATAATGGCACAGCATTTCAGCATGTTTATGGTGTGACTTAGACATTTCAGAATAATTTCGACGAAATTAAAAGGATAGAATAATAATCATAGTGTGATTGGGATTGTGCAAAAACACGGCCTCTTATTGCGAAAATAATATATTATATACCCTGGACCTATCTCATACCTCATCTTCAGCACTGTCTGTTTCATGTATTGTGTGTGTGTGTGTGTGTGTGTGTGTGTGTGTGTGTGTGTGTGTGTGTATGTGTGTGTGTTACCACATGGCATGACAGATTCTTATTGATTCCATGGATATCATCCCATAAGTAAGGTACAGGTCTGTGCTGCACTGCTATCTGTCCTTGGTACTAACAACAATCAAAATACACACTAATCTTTCAGTATGCGAGGATACCTTCAATATGACTGAATGTAACTTGTTTCAGGGATGTGCAGACAGTTTGTACTATTGGGCGGATTTCATAACCTTGACCCCTGGCCCACTGCACTGTGATCTGCGATTTATTATTCCTGTTATATGTGCGTGTCTTTAAGGACTAGTCCATTTCTTAAAATGTGTATTCTTCAAAGTGAGATACTAAGAAAATATTGTGAATAAGCAAATTTAGTTTAATTTAATTGTTAGACAAATAGAATGGGTGAATCTATGATGTCTTTCTGTACAAGTGATCTGACCTTGTCTACAGATAGCATGTCGTGACTTGTATGTGAATTTTTTCACTCTTGAGTAGTAAGTGCTACACCCCTTGAGAAAACTGATTTGGTTTAGTCCTCCTGAGTGACGGCATGGCGTAAAGTTTCCCCATTGTGTTGTGCACTGTGCTTTTGCTTGACGTTGAAGACGAGAAGGTAAGTAGCTAGCTGAAAGTCTAGCTATGCTGAAATGTTTAATATACTAAAGTGCTGTTTCCCTGACAGCATTGAGGAGTATTGTCATGAGAATGGATTGTAATTCATGTAATAAAGCTAATTTCTAATAAAGTTTATTTCAAACTTAGCTAGCCAACTAGCTCGACCTGGCTAGTCTAGTGAGCTAAGTAGCTAACCAACTGTCAAGCAAGTAACCTTACAACTAACAAACTTTTCAGCAAGTACAGCTAACCTTAGCTATCTAGCTAATGGCTAAATATTACATTTACATTTTAGTCATTTAGCATATCATTTCTATAGTTTGCTATTTAGTTTATAATCGAACATAGTTCATTTACTGATATACCAAACCCTGTTTTTAGTGTTTAGTCAATTGCTTTTCCACTTGTTGTCACTTTGTAGAGTCAGCTAGTACCAGCTTGTAAATAACAGCTAGTTTGGTGTTTGATTGCTAATAATGTCGTGGTCAAGCTCCATTACATTTTCTATAGGTCGTTATCAATAAAACATCACAATAAGGTGAAGAGCATAACATTTGCCTGCTCGCAACTGGGCAAGGAGACCCCCAGCTCCGCTAAAACAACTGACAACTGCGTGCCGTTCAAGGGATCGTTGAATAAATGTTAACTATTTGGTTGTAATATCATCAGTTCTTGAAGAGCATAGTCAGAATTACAAATGTCCGATTATTCCATGCAAAAAAATTGCGCATATTTAGCTCTATCATCAGTTATACAGCAAGCAACTGGATGCTTTTCATGATCAGTAAACATCAATTGATAATGTAATTTCGGATACGTGAGGGTAGCCTGACGATATCTCTCCATTGGCCACCATTAATTGGATATTTGAGTGATATAAAATAAAAGTGAACTATACCTGACAAGGATGAGTGGTTTAGGTTAATTTCCAATCCTTTGTGCACTGCCTGTCAAACAGCAGAAGGGCGCATTTGTTGATGTACTATTAGCTGATCATGTTTACTTTGGAAGCTACGGGTAGAAACTTTGTACAGTTGCCTAAACACAGTGGTAAGTAGACCTTATTGTACTTTTTTCTCCAACCAACGTAGGCCTACCTAGCAAAGTTACTCAACATTATCCCCTTTTCATCATTGTTTTTCCACAATTGCGGCTGACAGACATGAAAGCTAGGCTACATTGATGGACCACGTCAAATTGGCTACCGAGCTAATAACAGATCACGTCAATATGCCTAGTTGGCTAACTTTCAGGGGATAAGCTAGATGGCTATATCCACATTTTGTTTGATTTGCTAGTCATCTATAGTGGTGATGACAAGTCTGACTGACCACGTTACCAGGAAAAGGACTTGCTGATGTCAAGCTCTTTCCAAAAGCCTAATGATGAAGCAAGCTAAATGACATGTTTGCTTAGCTAGCTACATGCTAAATGAATAGGCTACCCTAATGTATCTGACGTTACATGATCAATTGATGTTTACTGATCGGAAATGTGTAGTTCTGACTATGCTCTTCAAGAGGTCATGATATTAAAACCAAATAGTTATAAACATTTATTGAATAATCCCTTGACAACAGCAGGTAGTTGTCAATGGCAGGTAGACAGCAGGTAGTCTGTCTGAACATTAAACACATTTTGTTTTGGAAGCATAAGGTCCTTACATTTCATACCAGCGAGAAATAATAAAAAATAAAAATAAAGGTTAAATTGATACATAGGGTTAGTGTTCCCACTCGGCCATATCTCCATGTTACAGCGGGTTTTACGGAAGACAGACTGAAGACAGTGCTAATTAGCTATCTAGTATGCTCCGAACACCTGTGTAACGGAAGAAGGAAAATTATTTTTATGTCATATGAAACCGCAATTTGAGAATCGATTCGGGTTTAGGTTGAGTATTTGGCTGTTTTGGCTGCCAGAGCCAGTTTACCTCTGAAAATAAAATATAAGGTCCTTGGACCTTAGGGAGTGATGGTAGGCTCCTTGAGTACATCTTGGGCTAGACTGAACATAGTTCATGTCACATAATTACATATCTGTTTCTTGTTATTAGTGTAATACTAATACATTGTTTATATATTAGGTATATTGTTTGATGGCGGTTTTAATTTGTCTATTTTGTCCAAAGTTAATACATTTGCGATATGTCATGAACATCGAGAGATGAGGAAAGAGGCATGAGATGAACTCTTGTGACCTGTTGCACTTTGGCAGACGTGGACATTACATGTGAATTGCCAAACATGAATCAGCATAAGCTGTTAACAACTTAGCATTTAGTCTTCATGTTTCATAAGTTAGAAATATCTACAGGCCATTAGCCCAGAGCCATTTTTTAACTTAAGACACTTTATACAAACTAGCTATATAATTCTCATTTTGTCTGTCATAGTTGACGTGTACCTATGATGAAAATTACAGGCGCCTCTCATCTTTTTAAGTGGGAGAACTTGCACAATTGGTGGCTGACTAAATACTTTTTTTCCCCACTGTAACTTATATCAGCAGAATTGTCATGTCTCCTCCTAACAACCAGGATGTGCTACTTGGACAGTGTACAATGGCTGACAAAGCATACTTTCTAAATGCTTGTTCAGCAGTTTATTTTCCCTTTTGTCAATGCTCCTGTGCTTAGTCATTACAAATCATTATCGCCTTCCTCCTTATGAAATGGCACAAGTTGAGATGTTTGTTGCTGTGTGTCAGCTTGCACTGCTAATTTATTTGACTCGGGAATGAGCGAAGCACTTTGGGACATCATCTGGGTGAAAGTAGATTTAATTTCCTCCAGTTACCACTACCACGTGCACCATTTTTGTTTTCATGGGCCTAATCATAGAATTACATATAGAAACCCTATTTCAATAAAACGTCACAATAAGGTGCAGAACGTTCGATTTGTCTGCCGGGGTAGAAGGCGACCCTCAGCTCCACTAAAACCATTGACAAGTGCGCGCCGTTTTCAAGGGATTGTTAAATGTTTTATAACTATTTGGTTGTAGTATCACCTCTTGAAGAGCATAGTCAGAACTATACTGAACAAAAATATAAATGCAACATGCAACAATTTCTAAGATTTTAGTGAGTTACAGTTCATATGAGGAAATCAGTCAATTGAAATAAATAAATTAGGCCCTAATCTAAAATCAAATGTTATTTGTCACATACACGTGTTTAGCAGATGTTATTGCGTGTGAAGCAAAATGCTTGGGCTTCTAGCTCCGACATTGCAGTAATATCTAACAATTTCACAACATATACCCAATACACATCTACGTAAGGAATGGAATTTAAGAATATATACATATATGGACAAGCAATGACAGAGCGGCATGGACTAAGATACAGTAGAATATTATAGAATACAGTATATACATATGAGATGAGTAATGCAAGATATGTGAACATTATTAAAGTGACTAGTGTTCAATTTCTTAAAGTGGCCAGTGATTTCAATAGGCAGCAGCAGCCTCTAATGTGTTAGTGATGGCTATTTAACAGTCTGATGGCCTTGAGATAGAAGCTGTTTTTCATTCTCTTGGTTCCAGCTTTGATGCACCTGTACTGACCTCGCCTTCTGGGTGATAGCGTGGTAAACAGGCAGTGGCTTGGGTGTTTGATGTCCTTGATTATCTTTTTGGCCTTCCTGTGACATTGGGTGCTGTAGGTGAAATCTATGGATTTCACATGACTGGGATTATATATACAGTGCATTCTGAAAGTATTCAGACCCCTTGACTTTCTCCACATTTTGTTACGTTACAGCCTTATTCTAAAATTGATTACAATCAATATACATAATGACAAAGCAAAAACAGGTTTTTAGAAATGTTTGCTAAAAAAAACGAAACAAAAAACGGATATCACATTTACGTAAGTGTTCAGACCCTTTACTCAGTACTTTGTTGAAGCACCTTTGGCAGCGATTACAGCCTTGAATCTGCTTGGGTATGACACTACAAGCTTGGCACACCTGTATTTTGACATGATTTGGAAAGGCACACACCTGTCCACAGTTGACAGTGCATGTCAGAGCAAAAACCAAGCCATGAGGTCAAAGGAATTGTCCGTAGAGCTCAGGTACAGGATTGTGTCGAGGCGCAGATCTGGGGAAGGGTACCAAAACATTTCTGAAGCGTTGAAGGTCCCCAAGAACACAGTGGCCTCCATCATTCTTAAATGGAAGAAGTTTGGAACCACCAAGACTTTTCCTAGAGCTGGCCGCCCTGCCAAACTGAGCAATCGGGGGAGAAGGGCCTTGGTCAGGGAGGTAACCAAGAACCAGATGGTTACTCTGACAGAGCTCCAGAGTACCTCTGTGGAGATGGGAGAACCTTCCAGAAGGACAACCAT